ATCTGCGCTACCAGTTTTGGTTACTGAAAGTCTCATTACCAAAAAAATCTCTAATTTGGAATCTAGCAGTGGACTGCAGTTTTTCCTAGAGCAGGGTTTGAAAGTGTGGCTTAGCTACCCCTGCAAACCAAACTCTTTAGTGAAACTTCAAGTCCCTGGGTTAGAAGCTACTTTAGCTACTGGGTTTTTTTCCTATGATGTTTTAAACTGGTCGCTTCATAGTGAAGTTTTTCTTTCAGTATTAAAATGACACTAACATCTTGCAGTGAGAAATGACAGAGCTGCTGTCTAGGGAAAAAATACTCATTTAGCAGTGTGAAATTTGTTACTTTTGTTTGTAAATGTGAAGTTGTTCTCAGGATGTGCAAATCTACCGTTTAAGATGCCGGTGCAGTAAGCAAACCTCCCCTGTCCTTTATGCGCTTCCATCATCTTTGGAAAAAGGGAATGGCAGAATACTGAAGTCTGCTCTCTGTCTTACTACATAGTTGTTGCTTCCCTGTGTAGCACTTTATTTTACCCAGGATGATAGGAATTAAGAAAACTTTCAGTCTCATACATAATACTACTACTGACTGCTAGATTGCTATTGCACCTGCTACTTTTAACTAGCAAAATATGGATTCTGCAGATTTGCACTTTTAAGTCACTGATTTGTTCTAGTTTTGGGCTAGGTAAGTGCTTCCTAGAAAGACTAGCACGATTATTAAAGCAGGTACATTGATACAGAGAGGAAGGCAGTCAAGATCCCCATGCTCAATCTACTCTTACGTTATATTTAGAACTAATTTAGTAGTTTAATCCCTGGATAGAACTGACATAAATTTGCCCTTTTTAGAGCTTTCCTAACCACTAGATAGTAGGGACCTACTGAACATGGGGATGAAAATGTACTGGTTATGAAAAGAAGCCAGATGTACTTCAGTACTATTCTAAACTCCTCTCTTAGAAAAATACTGGGCCATTCTTGGAAATTCTGGCTTGAAAAGGAAGACAGGGAAGGTTCAGTGAGAAATTTTTGCTTTGATCAGTAAAAAAAAAAAATTGCTCTGAAATCACAATGAAAACTTAAAAATAGAAGATGTACTAAGAGTTTGCCATGTGGTCTTCTAACAGGACCTGCTGCTTAGCAGTGTTCTTAGGGAAGACTTAGGAATTTAAAACATGGAAACTGCAATACATTTTGATTTTTACTTACCAAGCTTGTCACTGTTCATTGCTGTTCAGAGTTTCTGTCTTTCACATCAAGTCTTCATGCTTTGACATAGTTAAAATGAAACCCAAATTTTTCCTTGGGTATGTTTTACCGCAAATTAAGATTTATTTCTACAACCTCTGTTTTGAAGAAGACATACTTTACTTTAAAAAATACTAAATGTATTTAACTGGCATAAACCAGCTCTTCAATTACATTATCTTAATCTCTGTATCAAAATTGAAAATGCTACCTTTGCAAATAATGGCATGTGTGTACAAGCAGTTATGCTTGTATCCACCTTTATTTAATACACTGTTTATTGTTTACATAGATGAAGAACTTAATTATGAAATTGTCTTCCTCAAAACAGCATTTAAAGGGGTGAATAAATACTTTTCTCTTTCTTTTAATTAAGACCTGTCAGTCTGCAGAAAGCAGACCCTTGTTGGCAGAACAACAAAATGAAAGCAGTGCAGGACACTGGGGACCTGTAACACCAAAAGGACCTGGAAGACCCAGACGACCAAAGAGACGTGGTCGACCACGGATGGGTGGAAGATCCAGGTGTTCTGGAAGGCTGAGCAGACCTGGTCAGTCCCCTTCAAAGTCACTTAGTAGTGTGTCAGCAGAACACAATGTATTCAGAAGAAAAGCTAGGTTAAAAGAGGTATGGTTCTCTTCTGCAATTACTTCACAACTATCCTCCCCTCTTTTTATTTACTTATTTTTAAGGAATCATTTTCAAAAGATTGGGTTTAATTTATTTTTTTTACATCCTTGTGTACTGACAAGATGAAGGACTAAGGAAATATTAAGTTGTCTTTCAAGGAAAAAGTACTTCTACCAGAACACTGGGCAAAGGGAAAATGGGAACTCAGTCTGGAAAGGAACTTTTGACATGTAGATACATTCTTGCTATCATTTTTCTGGAGAAATGGTGTTACTAGCTATTATTATGTATCTCCTCCAACACAGTAAAAAGAAATAAGTGAAGTTGGGCAACATCAAAAAAAAAGAAAAGAAAAAAACCCAAACCAAACACACACAGAGAAGCTCTTGGGGGAGGATGGAATGGGGATTAAAATCCATGCAGCTAACATATGTTTTTTTGTTTGTTTCCTGTGTGTTGTGGAAGAACCTTTATGGCTACTAAATCTACCAGTGTTGCTCTTCTTTCTATGAATTGGCAGCATCTGTGGGGCTGAGTTTTGTCTGTATAAGGGTAGAAACTGTTTTGAGGTTTTCTAATTTATCTCTTTTGGTGTTATGTTTGCATCTGTTCTCTAAGCTGCTTAAACACATAGTGTAGCCTTAAAAAAAAGAGTAGTGATATTTGATGTTCTGAATGTGGGATGCATAACCTCTGCTGGTTGCTCTGCTCTTAATAAATTCTGGCTTTTGACAGTTAATACAACAGTGTGATAATGAAGACTTAATGGAGCTGGCTCTCCCACGTCTCACGAAGCTTGTTACAGTATTTGAATTTCTGTTGATGAAGGTGAGGTGTTTTGGGTTTTTTTTTTTTAATGTAAAACTGTTTAAATTATTTTAGGGAGACTTCCTTTAGTGTACATAAAAAAGATTCATTTAGAGATGTATCTGAATTTCCTAAGCATTGTTCCACACGTCACTTCAATCTACACAGCCGAAGCTCTGGTAGGTCTCTTGACTGAAAGCCTCACTTTTTGCTGACTGGTTCAGTGGCTTTTTTTATTACTCAAAAATCTCTTCACTTGAATGTTTGTATTTTAAAACCTTGAATGAAACAAACTGGCATACTTTAATTTCATTGGTTTGAAAATATGGGGGGAGGGGAAACAAACCCTTTTTTCCCCCTGTTATTTCTAGGTTGAAAAAGGGTATCCAGCCAAAGCTTACTTCCCAGATGTGTATAAGGAATTTGAAGACTTGCATAATATGGTAAAGAAAATGGCTTATGATCACCTCAGTAATTCAGATTTGCTGAGTTGCCAGCAGCTTGTTGAAATAAAAGATGCTAAGGTAATAAAGCACTCTGTTTGGAACTGTGATTTTTGTTTGTTTTGTTTTGTTTTATTTATTTTAGATGCTTTGCACTTTTATTTTTCTCTGATAAGCTTTGTCATGCTGAAGAAAACATGGGGTTAGATGAGCAAAAAGAGACATTGTAAAAAATCCAGCAACTAACTGAAGAGAAAAAAGAAATCCATAATAAAACTACAGTTCTAGTTTATGGCAATAGATACAACTAGATAGTAGATAAAAAAAATTCTAGCAGCACTGGTACCTGTCTTGTGTATCTGGGGTAGTATGAAGCTGCATGTTACTACGAGGTGTGCTCAGCAGTAACTGCTAGTGAAAGTACATCTGGATGTTTGACTAGGAAGAAAGGGTCTATATTTAAAATGAGTGGCCTTGATTTAAAGGGATAAGTGGTTTCATTGCAAAATGAGGACAAACTGAATGCATCTATGCAGTTCACAGCTGTAGTAACAAATGTGAAAGGTAGTGAATACATTAATAAAGCTGCAAGCTATTATTTCAGTGATTCTTCAATCCATTGCTTATGCAGCTGTATCTAGAAAGACAGTGCAGGCTTGGTTTTCTGGTTGTTTTTTGTTTTGCTGTTCTTTTTTAGTGTGGATCTGTTTTTCCTTATGGATCCTTATCAATCTTATATTCCCCTTGCTTAGAATAAAACAGCTCTTTGTACTTAACATAGTTTTGGTTTTCCCTTCTCTGTTTCCAGTAGCAAAACCACTGTTATGTGTAATACCTCCAACAAAACTCCTAAATGATGTGCTCATTAAGGTACATCAGCACTGAACGTGCAACTACCAGGAGAGGGGAGCATACTGGAAAAGTTAGAGTAGGGATGGTGGAGATAAGAACTTGGTTCTTATAATCCTGGATTAAAAATAATTAAGTCCTGTATGGACTGTTAGCAGTGGTTAATGTTTATGTTTCAGAATAAATTGTGACATTCACTGTATGTACTAAAACACTTCCTAGAATTACTGAGTGCCCATTTGGCTATTCTGTAACACTGATGTTTCCCTCTGGTGAAATGAAATTGCACCAAGTAAAGGGATGCTGTTGAGAGTGGTGTCCAAAAATGGAACCTCTTTCTTGCTTCTCTTCAGTATTAATGTGTACTTTTAATACAGAATTATGCTCTTAAAAAACCCCAACACCCTCCCCCCTGCCCCAAAAAACCCCAAACCAACAACCCAATAAAACAACCCAGCCTTGACACTGTGTAGTAGCACACCTGCATAAGGATGAAGCACAGGACTGGAATGTGGGGATGGGACTTAGAGATATTCTTAAACAGGAAGACCTAAATGTTTTTCAAATTATGTAGAGCCTCAACAGTGTTCTTTATTAAACCTGCTCTTGGTAACTGTTTCTGGATTCTATATGTAACTATTGTACACCTAATTCTTTTGAGTTTGCCTCTTAATATTCACCTTCAAATGAAGGTCATGTTCTATTAATGTGGAGGCTGATTGAAAACATGGGAGTCTAAATACTTCATTGAGCTGTGATAATGAATTGCCAGGCTAGGCCTTTGTAGTTCTAGCTCAGTTTTAAGAAAACGAATCCATATATCAGCATTTATATATTGAGATTGGAGAAGCTAAATTGTACTTCTTTTTTTTTTTTCTGTAAAGGTTGCTGAATCCCTAGGAATTGCAGAAATACTTGCTGGAGAAGAAAAGGCACAAGCTGCAGACTCTCGTTCACAATGTATAATTAAAACAGTCAGTGAGCAAGTGCCTGTGGAGATACTGGGACAAAAACGGTTAGCTGAGGTATGGAATACCTTTGTGAAAAGTAAAAATGAAACTAAGACAAATTAACACTCGTTAAAACAGATAATACTAGTATGATTTTGTAAGGAATGATTATCTGACTTGTGTTAAGGCTTTTCATGGTGTTTGGAAATACTCTCTAGTGTGGTATCATATATAGAGAGTATATATAGCTAGTTCATATGCCATGAACACTTTAGGTAGTGAGACACTAAAGATGTACTTTGGGAAGACACTTGTTAGCATTCAAGACAGAATCTCAAAGGCTTACGGGTAATGTCATGGTACAGGGAAGAAAGAATATTGGAGGCATTAGTAAATGGGGGCCACACAATAAGAAGGATCCCCAGATTGTAATTATTTGTGCTGGTGTAAGTGGGCTAACGTACAGCAGGCTCAGATGCTGGAGAAGTGGTTGCTCTGCTTACTGGTGGTAGGCAGAGAGGCATGAAAACAGTTCCTTTCTTACTAACAAGGCAGCTGACTAGATTTAGTCTGTTTACAGCTGTAGCAGGGAGCTCTGTTTTCTCTTCTTGAAATTCACATCTCTGTGGTCCATCCCCTTAACAGTCCTACTTTTTATTTAATCTGAGTTGTTTCTGGTCATGGATAAATAAGAATAGTGCTTTTTTACTTTGCTGCCTGTAGTTAAAGAGCTGATCATGTTTTCATTAACCAAACAATACTGGGCAGACTGTGCATGCCCCTTGATTCAAGTTGGAGGTTTCATGCCATACAGCTAACCACAGAGGCTCAGAGAGATGCTTTAATGTTGAGGCAAGGGCATATTTTCAACCAAATATCAAAAGTAATTGGTGGCATTTTGGCAAAGCGTGATGGCTGTGTTTAAAGCTTTACTTTTTAGGAAGACCTTTAGTATTAAAGTCCTGTTTTCAAGGAGAGTATCTGTTCACTGCCATGAAGTGTCCACAGTTAGTTTGTTGTCTTTTCCAGTATTGTCAGCTGTTACGGTGGCAGCCAGTTAATTACCTCTTGTATTGACAGAGCTCAGGGGAGGACCTGTTGCCATCAGCCAAAAGGACCAAGTTAGAAGACGTAATGGAGAATGTGAATAATGATCATGCCAGTCAAGATGAAGTGAAAGAAAAGAGTGGGAATTTGTGTACACTGTTTGGAAAAGATGGTAACCTCTTCAGATTTTCCAGTTCCATTCTGCTTGTGGAGGAGCTGAACAAATCTCATGATTCTTTAAGCTACTGTGGGTTTTGTCTTAAGGTTTAATTTATTAACTTGTTTCCCTGGTCCTTCAAAAGCAGCTGTTTAAATGGAAAGGCATCATGGTGGGGTGCAGGGAAGTAAGGGATGATGCAGACCACAGCAGTAGCTCAATTCTGAATGCATGATAATCTGGTTATTAATACTGCTGCATTACTATGAGCATAGTACTGTCCTCTACTGTGTGCTTTCTGAATGCTTCCTATTCACCCTATCCTTTACAGCAGGGAAGGTGCATGACCTTTGCACCAGGAGTGGGAGAGCAGGGGAAGAGGAAGCTGCATGTATGTCCTTCCTCTTTGCCTCAGCAGGCTGCAGGAGCAGGAGAATCATCAGAGCTTTGTGGAACCTGGGGAAGGGGGAGAGCTGGAGGCTGTCCTGTATCCCAGTGGAGATGTGAGGAGATTGGAATTTAGGCACCACTCTGCACCACAGTTTTTGGGTGGTTGCCTTTCTTTTTATCCCTTTGTTGTCTTCATTCACCCCTGCCCCTCAGATTGGCAGGGTAACAGTGGATTAGAAAGGAAAGCAAGATGGATCCCCACCTATAATCTTCTAAAACTCTGCTGGTCTTTGATGCAGAAGTGTTGCATTATGATCACTGTTGTCAAAGATTCCAGTCCTTGCCCACCTCTAGTTAAGATCTGTCTATCAGTACAGTCCTCTTGCTTTGTACAGACTTTTCTCTGGTGATGCTGTAGGATGCTTTGCTTTGCTCTCTGCACATCTTTCTGCCAGGGGTTGTGTTTTTGTTTTTCTCTCTGTTTCTTTTTCTTTCCCTGGAAGGTTCTCTGCATGACCATGCTTATTTCTTACTGTATTAATGATTTACTTCTGGGCTAGGAGGTTTTTTAAATTTGGTTTCACTTGCAGTTCTAGTAAGGTTTTTTGCGAGTGCACAGTACAAGAAGTTAAAAATGGTCCCTTCTGCAGTGTGTGCAGTGATAGCTTTCATAAGAACTAAAAAAGCCCCCAAACAACCTACTGGTTCCTTTTGATTGTCAATTACAAAAACTGACAGCTCCTACTACTGTAGTTTAGTAGTTATTGTTCAACTGTTTGTGACCTAGCTCTTGGTCCAGGTCAAATAACTGGTAAAACAAACTAATTTTGCAGTGCTTTAACCTTTTCTGTCACAGGATGAAGGTGCTCCTAGGGCTGCTAGCACTGATAATTAGATATGTAGTAACTTGATGACATGTCTGAGTCCAGGATGAGCTTGATTATCAACAGATATTTTACTGAGTTTAAATGTTTCTGTCAATTTACTAATGGTAATATTCTTTATCTTTTAATGTCATAAATTTCTTTAAGCTGTATGCCAGAGTATGACTTTGAGCCCAGGTTGTTTTCAGGATTAACTGAAAAATGCCGCTTCTGATGTCAGGTCCCTTGCTATGAAAATATTCAATAATATTTCACTATCCAGAAATTTCCTAGTATTTTTCTACAAACTTTCTCATTGGAAATTGCTGTGAAACTCTTGTAAGGTGCTTCAGGTTTGCTAACTGGGGGAAGGAAAGCAGGGAGGCAGTCTAGCTTTTCCTCCGAAATTACTGCTGAAAAATAATTTTTTGGACATGCAATATTAGATTGCTCAACAAAATTATATTTATTTTCATCCTTTCAGGTTGTAATCAATTAAATGGAGAAATCCTGCTATCAAGAGATGGGCATATCACTTGCTGCACAACTGGAAGCACAGAGCAACATAATTTGCTTGCTGATTCAGGAGTCAGAATTGATGCTGGAAATTCAGGTACCTTGTCCCAGACTGTGAAAATGAGGGTAGAGTATTCCCAAGCTGTGGCGAAAGAGGAACCAGACCTGGCAGGTGAAGCGTCTCTGCTACACGCTGAAGTTGTATTACCGGTTGAAGCAGATGGCTCACCTGGATTAGTCCAAGCACACTTTGTGTGTGAGGATGCAGCTGGTGGGCTCTTGGCTCCTCAGCTTTGCACCTCTGTGTCAGAAGATGCAATGGGCAGTCAGAGCACTGACATAGCAACGTGTGAAGAAAATGGGCACCATCAAAAATACGAGAAACTGCAAGAAGAAAACGGTAATCTTGCAATTAAAGAACATTCTGAACAACTCCATAATGCAAATATGACTGATGAGATGCTGGAACTTGAAAAAGCTTTTTCAACAAACATTGTGCCAATAAACCAGCCACACAGTGCTCAGACTGAATTGCACCAGAACCCTGTCCAGGAAACCTCCCTGTCTGCTCATGTGAACCATGAAAACTCTCTTAAAAATGCAAATGACTTTTCTTGTGGGACAGAGGAACAACATGAGCTGGAGAATACAATTACTGTAGATGAAACTGTAGCCTTTGAGATTACTGATGAGAGCCATGATTTTTTGTCTCAGGGACAGGAACAGATTTTTATTCAGACTTCAGATGGGCTTATCCTGTCTCACCCAGATACTGCTGTTCTGTCTCAGGCAGAAGGCATTGTTATTGTAACCGATTCCAGTGGTACCACAATGCATATCCGCACGCCTGAGGGGATACCTTTGGAAACTGTGGAAGCACTACTGGCAATGGAAGCAAATGGCCAAAGTGAAGAGATTTTGCTCTCGCAAAATGAATTGGAGCCATAAATAAGAAAACTATATGCTTTCTTCTGGAAAAGAATGACTCTATCAAATGTATATTTTTCTAATGTGAATACTGAAATAACTGAAATTTAACTTATTTGTAAGCTGTTTCTATGCCCTGTACTTTTTATAACTTATGTTTATATGGATCTAGCAGCATTGCAACCAAAAATTCTAGAATTAACATCATTCTGTTTGCTTTATATGTTGGGGTGGGTGGAAAGTGGAAATCTGTCAACCCTGAAACTGTTGCACTGTTCCCTTTTGTTATTTAATTCCTTTTCTCTCCAGTCATCTAAAAATGCAGGAAGCTGTATTGCTGTCCAGCAGTGATGTGCTGTGTACTGGCACGCTGTGTATGGGTAAAATAAAAACTATATTAAAAACATGGCGTTTTCTGTGCCATTGAGTTTACAGAACACTTTGTTACTGCACTTGCTCGATGCTAATGAATATTCAAGCTGGCTTTTAGACTTGAAGAGCATAAATCTGCCCGGAAAAATAGGCAGTTTTAAATATAATCTGGGAACAGTGTGACAGCCTAGCTGATCCTTACTTCAATAAGCATCCACTGAGTTAGAGATAAAAATAACCTCCAACAAAAACTGTTGGAAATGTATTTAAGTATGTTTGTGTAATGTTCAGCCACACCTTTAGAAACTGCTTAGACAGAAACAGGAAGGTGCTAAGTAGTGATCTGGTCTTCCTTACTGATACCAGATTCTTTTTTTCTCTTTAGTCCATGATAGTCTATTTTTGTTTGACTTGTATCACACTTTTTCTTTCAGATGATGCATCCTGTGTCAGTTCTGAGGTTTGACCTTCCCAAGAACTCCACACTGCCTTGTAATACTTAATCATAATAAAAAGGTGTCCTTGACTATCATCCCTGTTTCTCTATGCAGACAGAAAACTTACCAAACTGGTTATTTACTTCTATCTACTTCTATCTACCTTGTATTACTGTCACACTTTTCAGTATGTTGCTTGGATGATAATATTTTTTGTGGAGAATTCCTAGCAGCTTCTTGTCCAAGGCACTGTCTTTACTTTCAAGAAGCGTGGCAGGTGAAAATGAACAGCCTTACATGACTAGTATCTTTTAACACAGTTGGGTTTGGGGTTTGTTGTTGTTTTGTTTTTCTTGATTGCCTAAGTAGGAGATTAGTTTGATTAGCCAAAACACTGCCTTTTAATGTGTGGATGTGAAAGATGTCATCACATATTAGTGAGCTCCTGTCTCATGGTTAGGTTTATGGTGTTGGTGTAGGTTTTGTTTTGGTTTTTCCCCCCTATTTTTTAGGAGGTCACAATGGTCAGAGGACACAGGCCTACTCTGTAAGTGAAGATCAAGGTGAAGTGAAGCAAAGTAAGGTCTTCCAGTCTTCGATCACAGTGAGCAATGCTTTATTACATTCTTTTGTACTGACTAATAACTACATCTGAGGACTTACTTAAAATATAACAAGCAACTGCTTAAAGCTATAATGACAAAATATCTCTGCAATAATTTTGCAGTAATCTGTGTCCAACAGCAGTCAGTGAGCAAGGGGCTCTGTAAATATGAAGACAACTTCATGAGAAGAGAACAAACCACAATTTCTACCTGTGCAGAAAATGAAAATTTGCTTCAATTCTGTCTTCCCTATTGATTTGCACATGCTGAGAAATACAGTCCACCTACTCCCATCTTAAAAGAATAATCCTGTAAGTGAACCAACCTTTTGTCCCTGGAAAATACTTTTCCAGTATGAAGGTGTTTCCATAGTGACAAGGGTTTGGCCCTACTCCAATAAATTCAGGTGGCTGTTAAACTATGTGGAACACTTGTACAGAAAAATAATAAACTCCAACAAAGCTATTCATAACTGATTGTGCTCTCCTTGAGCTACAGCAGAGTTTCTTTTTAGACGATAGGAATCTGGGATAAGACTAGAACACTATTAAGCTGTCAGAAACAATCTCGTTATTGAACAGAGCAACATGTTGAGAAAAGTTTCCTAATTCATGTCTGTTCTGTTACTGCAGAAAACTCATGCATTTCCCTTACTGAGCTTACAGGGTTTTAGCTTGGAACTATTCAAGTAAGTGACCCTACTTGTCCTATCAGAAGTCTGTTCTAGAATCTCTTTTAATTAGATTTTTCTAGTGTCAAAGCACGGCTGTTAAGGACATTTCATAGCAGTGTGCATTTTGTGTCACTTAGTTCAAAGGAGAATTGAGGGTAAACATCTGTCAGGGCACATTGATGAGTCAACAGCACTTAGAAACACTACATAATTGTGTGAAATAGGAGATGGAAATCAACAGCTTATATAGGAGCAGGTCACAGGCAGTCAGAAAGTGGGAGGAATTTAGATTATTAATCATAACGAAGTAAGCAGAAGGCCTAAATTCACTACACTTAGTTAAATTAAGGATTTAACTAAAAGTTTGTGAGAGGGCTGCATAGTTTCCACATTGTAATGCACTTTTCTGAAAAGTGATGATTTGCAACAGCAACTAACAGTTATTAAAGGTTGGGCAAGTGTGGCAACTTCTCCATGCTATCCAGGTCTGACAAGAACTTTATGCCACAGTGACTATTATGTCTTTAGGAGTGAAAGCAAGTATGAGCAGTGAATTCCACTTCAGCATTTAGCTTTTGCATGAACTGTTTCTCCTGAATAGACTCACTACTCCCTTTTCCAAGAAAGCAGCATGAAAAAGAAAAGTAAGAGTTTGAACCACTGGTTCTTGTCACATAAACTGCTAACCAAAACTACAGCAGGGCACACCTTTAAACCAAAACCACTTGACATCAGAAACAGTAATCCAAGGAAAAACTCACTGAGCCTCATGACTGGAAGCAAACAGTGTGGGATAAGACCATGCCTGAAGCAGACTTTGTTTTTTTTCAACAGATGCTTTCACATAACATCTCTACAATGAATTAAAAGAGACAAGATCTTTTCATATAATGACTGTGGAATAGTGAATTGTACTAAACCTTCCCAGTGTGCTCATTCAGGCTGGGATCACTCTTCAGGGGTGACATACCCAACCACTCTATAATCAAAACCAAACCAGAACTTACACTGGTGTCTGTGGCAGTGTTCCTAAACCACATACCATTCATAACCACCATGCGGATGCTTTTGGATCTGCATTTTGTGCTTTGCTTTTCCCCATTTATAAGGCAAGTACAAAAGCACACACCCTGTTAAATCATGAAAATAAAACCCACAAAAGATGAAGAAGTGCAGTAGTATGGTGAAAGGGACAACGTAGGTATTTTAGACTATCAAGACTTGGTAATTCGTTAACATTGTTTCCTGTAGGTGTCTATGTGCATTGAATTCACCCCAGACCAGCACATAGTGGTTACCTCTTTCTGATTATAGACGACTTAGCCTCCTACCTGTAGCCTCTCTATTGCACTTAAAATGGATAAAATGACGAAAACCAGATTGTCCTATGCAGAGAAAGGAGTATCAACAGAGACAAAATAATAAATACAAATAGAAATAAATATTTTTAATAAGTTTTACAAAAACATAACTTACTTGGTAAGCTTTGCAGTTTGCCATTTCAGTTTCATGTAAGCATCATTCGAAGAAGCCATGTAACATTTGGAATTCTAGCACTGTCTATGTCCTGTTTCTAGCAGCATGGCTTCAAGCAGTAGTTTGCTGCTATTCTCAATGTAAGGCTGGTATAACCAGGATGATAAATAAACCATCATCAGATCCTGGTCAGCAGAATGAGCAATTTCTTGTACAATTGTTTGCTTGAGTTGTAGTTCCTTCTTGTACATTTCAGAGAGCTTCAGAGAAACCTCATCTGAAATGGATTGGAAAAAAACAAGCACATTGAGCAGAACATTTCCAAAGTTCTCTAGGATTTACATAATACTTGTAATATAATGATCATTAAAAAACGCTACCTTGCATAAGCTATTCCCTGTATTTAGACATCTTAGTTCTTACGGTATCAGTAATGTTTGCATACTAGAATACACAACGCTAAACAATTTACTCTGCTTTTGGATGTATTTTATACATTTGTGATTTTGACATGAATCCCCTCTTAATTCCAGAATAAGCAGTGGTATTGATCCTCAGGACCCACTATAACATTATCAGCTATAGCTATTCTTTCAAATAACTGAAATTTGATTTAAAAAATTGAGAATGCTATCCTGAAATATAACTTGACATTTAAGAGTCACTTTTGATTTTAGCTAATCTAAAGGATGCCCTCACATGCTGTCAGGAAATTTAGCAATGTATGATCACCAATAAGTGATAACCAGTAGTGAAAAATAATGGTAAAACAAAGCAACAGATCAAAACTGAAGTGTGTAATGTAAAAACTAATGTTGTTACTAGTTAATAATACTGGCAGAGGGGTTAAAATATATCTATGTAATAATCTTTAACTGCTTGACTTTCTAAAAAATTACGCAGATTATTTTTCAAGAGAGACTGATCCTACGTTTGTAACTTAGCCTGAACTGTTACTATTTTCAGGAGGATTTAGTCCTTCATGGATTAGAGAGCATTGCTAAATGATTCAGACACAATGAGTGTTTTGATAGCACTTGTCATTCTTACCCTTTTAAGCTGGCAGAAAGTAAAACATAAAACATAAGATTCCTGGTATCTTGTGGTAGTGAAGTAAGAAGCAGGGCTTCACAAAAGTATGACTTTCACTTCACAAAGAAGGCAGTTGGTTTGCATGCAATCAGGCTTCTCTGTAATTCAGTTTTAAAACTGCAGGAATACCAGTTGGGAGGTGGTACCTTCTGCCATCAAGTGAATGCTAAAAGCATTGGTATTAACAGCAGACAGTAAATGAACATTTCTTTACTTGCCTTGACTGACACTGAGATCAGAGATATTTTTCTTGGCTGCCTAAGAATTAGCTGAAGCATAACTTGTTCTTTGCGCTCAAGGATTTAATTTCAGTGTCAAGTAACAAGTCAAGCAAGTAAGCCTACTACTTAAAACTACCCAGTTGCAAATACGTCTCTCCCTACAAAGGTTGTGGCTGTTGCAGCTTGGACACTGTAAGCTGCTGATCAGCTTAGTTTTTATGCTGTAATTGTTACATGTCAGACAACACTTGGCAATTAATACAAGCAGTCACCAGCAGTAAAGCTAAGCCAGTGGTGCATTCATGTGTTTATTGATTAGTCAATTCTAAAGGAGATGGATATACTCTCTCTCTAAAGCAAGACATCCAGATTAAAGGGTTTATTTTTCAGTCCTCAATTAGATGACATCAATGATACAATGCAATTAGCTAAGATAATAAGTATTTCACTTACAGAAGTATGGTGTGGGCCATGTATGAAAGAAGGGGGCTGTGCAATTCCCAGCTCTATGGTGGAATGCTTCCAAGTCACAGATTGCTTTAGTAGTTGAAGTAAGCTTTTCCATTTTCAGTTGTATTTTCATCTGAAAACAATGAACATGTAATGTTAATCAGTATCTCAGGAACATTAGACTACTATAATCTTAAACCAACCTAGTTGATTCTATGATTCTATTTCTCAAAACCCATGACTTCTGAAGAGTATTTAGTCTTAACAATTCTAACTCACTTTTTTTTTTTTAAACTCCAGACAGGAATCAAAGCTGGAATTTATCTAAAAATTTGAGATACCGTAAAGTTTTGAACGTTGCAGATACAACTTAGTGCTTCTGATTTAGCAACATTCTTTTGTTTCCCACATGTAGAAACATATTAAAATCCTCTTTTTCACTTGAGTTTTCTCTGTAGCGATTTAGCACTGGGGTAAAACATCAGACTGCCTATGAACAAGCATGACACAAGCCCTATGAGCACATGCTTTCTTACATTACCATGTCAAGAAGACTTAAATTTGATTTCGAAAAATCAGCAGCAAGTGAGTAAAGCAGCGCAAGTTCCTACCGACAGTATACCTAGGCTGATTTAACAGCTTGCTTCATAAAACAGGTCATTCCATTGACTTCCTTCATGTTCATCTGACTTTGTGCATTACTGATGGGGCCTAATTTTTACAACAAAACAGAGGTTGCAGGCAACATCTTTAAGTCAAGAAGCTAAAATACGGATACTTCTATAAACCAGTAAACTGGTACAAACTCATAAGGAATGAAAAATAAAATATGTCTGTAGTAGCTGTGTATAGTATCCAATGTAACACAGCCTGCTTAGACTCCTTTTACTCAGGGGTAATAAAAAGCTGCATAAACACACTTGGTAAGATACAAAACTACCTCAAAGAAAGAAAAAGAAAAAAGAAAAAAACGAAACAACAAAACCCCCTCACCCAGATGACTGTTACTTTTTCCGACAGAACAAAATTGGAGGAAAATCTAGCTGCTTTCCTGCTTATTCAAAATACTAAATTGATATCCTGTCTACATAAAAAGATAGATCTATCATCTTTTTAATGGGCCTCCACTTCGGCAGAAGGCTGTGAAAGTTATTTTTAATAGGAATTTTAAATTACAGTATCAGGCAAAAAAAGAAAAAAAAATAAGTCTTTGTATCCTGTCAAACTGGCAGGTGATATTAATTTCTAGCAATGGATCCAGAAAAAAAGGTGGGTTAAATAATAATTATCTTACTCTACTCTCTAGAGAAGGAATTCTGCACAGAAAGTGCAGATAGGCAGACTAAAAATATAACTTCATCATATCTGATCAAAGACAGCTGCAAGAAGCTTTACCTGATGGCAGGTAAAGCACTGCTTTGTGCTTTGTTTGGTTCTAAACAGAGGGAAAATTCAGGATGAGAAAACAGAAAACAGGTGCAGTTTCAGAATGAATTTTTTTATGCAACTTGTTCTCAGAGGATCACTTCATAAAGGGATGAGTAGAATTATAAGCAGAAGGCAGATGTAAAATCAACTTTCAAATTTCCCAAGCAAGCAAATAAAAGGTGCACACTAAATTGATAATCACTTAGGTTTGAAGCCAAAGAATTATAAATAAAAATCCTAATTTTCTATTTACCACAAATACTTGAGGACATTTCCTTATGTCATACTTGAACACACTTGGAACTGATTGATATTGACTAAGACTGAAAAATGTGCATTACCATATGCTTTAAGGTCTCAAGTAATTCTTCACAGCAATTGTCCAGTTCTTCACAGTACTTTGGAGCTCGCTTTTCAGATTCTGTGGCACTGTTATGGCATGCTATCTCCAGTTTGTTGTCTTGAAATCTAAAACAGAAACATAAGGCAGAGTAAACAACTGCAACTTGGGTTTACCCAAGCTGTGGAGATTTAAAATCCATGCAGACTGGTCCTACAAAATCTTTCTCTTACAGGCTATGCATTTTTGGGTGGTGTTTTTATTTTTTTTTTAATCATCACCGTTAACTTTTCCCTCCATATAAATCACTAATTCTTTCTTAAAATCTGCTGAACTTTTGATTTGAATGAAATTCATTAATACTGGCCTCCGCGTAAATATGCAAGAGTAAGGGAACTCACACGGCCTGAGATCTATAGGGTTAGATTCTAATTTTGTACATTATGTAAGTATTTTAAATGTCTGTTATGCTTAACTATGTATAATAAACATAGCCAATTTCTTCCAAAAATCATTACTTTATGAGTTATTTGAATACTCATAAGACTTATTATTTGGATCTAGATGGTTTATGTAAGGAAAAAGTCCAATGCTGAGTTTGATTTAAGAGCGAGCTTTATCTACTCTGACATATAATACTTTTTCCCACTTCCAAAAAGAACTTTCTAGTGATTAAAAGAGATTTAACTCTCAATAAAGGCAATCTTTATGCTCTTTACTTGTATGTATTAGCATACTTACTGTTCACTAATCTTCATGTTGACTATTTTGTTTGCTGTAGTAAATCCATTATCATTCAGTCTCTCCCATTTCATCATTAAATTATGCCAGTCTGCTGCATTATCTTTAATTTTTCTTGCACTAACAGGTAAAACAGGTCTTCTTGGAGTACCATCACCAGGACCTTTTGCTGCATGAGAAAATAAAGAAATTCAAGCCATTTAGAGCATACAGAGACAAATCAGCATGCTGTCTGGCAACTGTTCGAGTGATTTCCTTGCTTTATGGCTGAATATTGATTAAAGTAAAAGGGAATTTACATGAGCTGCCTTCAGTCCTGAAATCTAATTCCTCATCTATACGCCTTACTACTACTTACAAGAAAATCATGTTATTGAAAAAATGCAAGCATGTTCTGTGATGTGATTTTGTAACATGCGCAGCAGTGGCTTTGCAGTAACCGGCCAGCCTAGCAGTCTTCTGTCTATGTATGACAGCCAGATGATAACACAGTGTATGACAGCAATGGGAACTGCTGCACAGAACCCCATTTACACAGGAGCACCACCTGCGAGCAGCCCCTTCTGCCTGTCCCCACCGTCCCGCCCCGGGTCCTGCCCGGGAAGTACGAACGGGCCGCAAGCCCGGCTCGAAGCTCATCAGTAGCAGAAACGCCGCCGCTCCACCCGCACACTTGCTGGTTTTAACTTTTATTCACAGAATCGCTTGAAAAGTGGCACAAAGGTGAAGCCCACGAATCACAGCAAGGTACGTGTGTCACTCGCTCCGCCCGGGAGAACAAGAGAGGTGCTGGGCACCTTCCTGGCCCGCACCCACGCTAAGGTAACGCGCCGGCGGGCGAGCAGGAACAGCAG